CTGAACTAGGACTACTTGGTTTTTCATAGGTGTAATCTCTAGGAGAGTGGAAACAGCATCTCCCCAGTGCACCCGATGCCAACACACAGACCGGCTCTGACACAGCTCCCCTCCAAGTAATTGGCTCCTCGTTTTAATGAATCTCTCTTGGAGAGAGATTTCCTCTGGCCACTTAATGAGACATCAGCTGTCTGAACTTTAACCCTGAAGCAAAAGAACAGCATCTGACTTAACAGCAAAGACTTTGCCCAGGCAGCCATGGCAAACCTCACTGATAAAAGTCAACGTGTAATTCAACTGAAACATTCAGATGTGACTGGGGCAGAGGAAAAAAAAAAAAAAAACAAAACAACCAACCACATCCAAATATGATCAGGGTAGTGTTACCATCCTTTCCCATATCTACTGCTTTTCACTTGTTCCTTTGGCAGATCACTCGAGAATTATCAATGAAGAAGGGCGTCACATAACTGGAGCTCAGCTGAACCAGGCTCTGCAAAGGAAACCCAAGTTTCCTTTGAGTTCAAAGAGGGCTATTGAAAATTCTGGAAGAAAATCCCCACGCAGGCTATGAAACACAGAGATACAATTTCTGGCTTCGAAAGTGCTCCCATCAAAAGCCAATTGTTGTAAGAAATATCACAAGGTGCTTGTTATTTGCTAGGGAGGGAGCTCACTACACAGCATTTTAGTCCGAACCACTATGTCCCACTGCAGGATCAGACAGACAATGTCCATGGTCTCCTGTCAACACACAAAAACCTCCATAGGGGAAGGATGAGTCAGCTGGGATTTTCTCACTGCAGTTAAATGCAGTAAAGATTAACTGCAGTAAAAGTTAACTGCAGTATGTAATTAAAATACTTCAATGTCCCAGTGATCACCTGTTTCTCAAGACTGTTGTGCAAGGTTGTTTTATCAAGTAACTTACATCAGTCAATGGTTATTTTGACTTCCAAATTCTCCATGAACATTTATGAATTTCTTTAAATATATTTACAGATTGTGTTTTCAGTTGAGTATCTCGCATCAGAGCTGAAACAAATTACTTTGGTTCCTCCATGTCAGTCAGAAGAATCCACAGAAAATTTGTGGCTTTTTTTCCCCCAGCAGCCACCTACAACTTCAGCATGAGACTGAGTCAGAAATGATGGGCCCATTGCAGGGATGAGGACAATTTCTTGGCCATTCCACATTGCCAGTGAACAGGTGGCCCTAACAGACCCCTGAATGTCTATTTTGGGAAGCCAGCTGGGAATTCTAGGGACTGCTGGGGTGGAGGGAGAGGGGAGCCCCAAATGGAGGCCCAGCTCACCTGGGAGGATCTGGATGCCTGAGTACAATGAAGACAACCCAGAGATGAACAAAGAGGTTCTCAGAGCCCTTTATGGCCCCCCAACTGCACAGCAGACATAAAAAGTGCCTTTCTCAAGCATGTTCATGTTCTTGATGCAGGACCAAAAGTCAAACACTTTGAATGACCACCATCATTTCTGCATCCTCTGCATGAGAGCTACTGGCAAGACGATTGGCAGCATCTTATGTTCAGCTCTCACACCCCACTGGAATTCAGATTAACTGAAGTACTAGCAGGCACCGAGAAATTCTAATGAGCCAAGAAAAATTGACTTTCCACATAAAATGGAAATTGAAAGGAAAATATTTGATTGCTAAATCTCCATTTGTTCCCTGTATGTTTAAATATAGAATTTTCTTTTCTCCTCAAAGACAAAGTAGAAGTATAGTACATAGAGTTTTTTTCTACTGGGAAAGAAATTAAGATGTTTGGTTAAAAGTATTCACTATAGTTTTCATTGAAGTAAAACACATTTTTTTCTCCTGTAGGGAACGGAATGAAAGAAAGCGATCAGCAGACTTGGGTCCCTGGCAAGCAAGCTTGCAACTGAACCACTGCTGTGTGATGGGTTAGGATTGGAAGGGTAAGCAGAAAATTGGGAGAAAAAGCAGGCAGCTCTTGGGAAAAGCTGAAAAAAACATTACAGGGTAAATGTACTGTTTCCTCCCAGGCAGCCCTTCACAGCCAAGCATCTTGGTGTTTGGCATGTATGCGCAATAGGGGTGTTTAATACTCAGAAAAGGGAAAAGGAGAGGATCCATTTCCTTCCCACAACCATGCTGCAGCCAAAAGACCTCCTGCAAAGAGGTCAGCAGCAGCCATCCAGCTTTCTGCTTTCAACGTGTGACCAGCTCTGAGGAAGAGGCACACACTGCTTGGCAGCCCCGCTGACAGAGCTGGGAGCTACCACTGGTCCAGTTCAAACCTCCAAGGTAGAAACTCAAGTTTTTCTTCTAGTGCTCCAGTACACCCACCAGAGAGGTATCTTCCTATTTCCTCTATAAAAATATACTTAACGTTTGTCTGATTACTTAATTTTCAAAACCCAATTGGATTTTGCCTGTAGTATTCCACCTGAAAATTTCATATTTTCACATCATGAGACAGAACAAGAAGCAGCTGATTAAACAGTAAAACAACAAAGTGCTTGCAAAGGCTGCATTTGATACCATTCTGCCTTCAACTTTAACATGAGGAAATCAACACGAGGGGAAAGAACCCAAATGAATGGCAAATCACCCAACTCACACAACAGCTCCATTCAGGGTCAAAGGCAGTTTGGGGAACCCACCTGTTGAGAAAGCAGCTGTGTACGGAGTCAGCCGTCCTTCACGTCATCCAAACACACTGCAGCAACGGCTCCTGGGAATCTCTTCTCCCTCCAGCCCACCCAGCCCAAAGGCCTGTTGCTTTAGCCACAACTGCTTGCTGGGAAATACAATCAGATGTGCCGTTCAGATCTGTACATGTCTTTCGGACCATATCATCACGCAGAATCATCTTGGTTGGAAAAGACCTTGAAGATCATTCAGTCCAACCATTAACCTCACACTGGCCATTCCCAGCTCCACCAGATCCCCCAGTGCTGGGTCAGCCCGACTCTTCAACCCCTCCAGGGATGGGGACTCCCCCCCCCCCCCCAACACCCTCTTCCAGAAAGAAATGCTTCCTATTAGCCACTGTAACCTTGCCCTGGCACAGCTTGAGGCCATTCCCTCTTGTCCTGGCACTTGTTCCTTGGCTCAAGAGACTCATCCCCAGCTCTCTGCAGCCTCCTTTCAGGGAGCTGTAGAGGGCGATGAGGTCTCCCCTCAGCCTCCTCTTCTCCAGACTAAACCCCCCCAGTTCCCTCAGCCGCTCTCCATCAGACCTGTGCTCCAGACCCTGCACCAGCTCCGTTGCCCTTCTCTGGACACGCTCGAGTCATTCTAGGGCCTTCTTTTAGTGGGGGGCCCAAAACTGAACACAGGAATTGATGGCCTCACCAGCGCCAAGCACAGGGGTAAGATCCCTTCCCTGTCCCTGCTGGCCACGCAATTGCTGACACAAGCCAGGATACCACTGGTCTTCTTGGCCACCTGGGCCACCATTAAGGAGAAACATGCTGCTGTGCTCCAAATCTCAGAGAGCCAGCACATGATCTGCAGAGTTAGTGAATTTCTTGGCGGGGGGGGGAGAGTTAGTGAATCATGCTCCTTCCTACACACTGAGCATCACAACACCCTGTACACATTAAAAAAATATCCTCTTCGGTACACAACCAAAGTCAATACTGCCCTCAGTCTGCCCACAGCCCTGCATATTTTTCAGTGTCTGGTAGTTTTGGATCCATGACTGAGGGGATATGTCTATTCTTACCTTCATGCAAGTTCATGTACCTGCATACACACACTGACTCCTGCTTCTCTCATGAAATATGGTTAAATTTTTGTTTTTCTTTTAGATTTTTATGAGCTCCCAATGCACAGATCATGAAAAAACAAATACATCATGGAAATAACAAATCCGTAATCTGAGCTTTTAGGTGCTCATTTCTTCCCCTCAGAACTACAGTGGCCAAAACGTTTTCTTAATTTTGTCAAATAAAAGCTTAGCTTGAGTGTGGGGTGGTTTTGGGTTTGTTTTTTTAAAAAAGCTGCTATGTACCTCAACTGTTACTGAATTCTGCTGTCTGTAAGCTTCTACAATTGCTCAGTTACGTGGGACAATGCCCAATTAACACAAGACAAACTGTTCTCATTATAGTGCAATATATATATTATCAACTGTATGTTTTCATGTATGTGGAAGCATATTTACATGTGTCCACTATATGAAATTCAAGCTCCAGACTGAGAACGTTCCTTAAGAAAATTAATATTCAATATATGCAGTGTAATTTTGTTCTTTACACAGCTGTAACAAATGCAAAGTTTCTACCATATACTTCCAAAACACAATATGCAACAGGACAGACAGGAAAGATTCAATTAATTCTTAGTAAATATGCTCTTTATGAGCATATAAAAAACAAAAAACAAAACAACTTTCAACACAAATCAGCCCTATTTATCTCAGTCTCAAAGGAAACCAGAGTTTTGCACTTGCAACTTGTCTCTTCTAATGAGAGATTATTTCATCTCTTGATTACTCCTTTTTCTTGAGGAACAAGATGAAATTCATGCATATTAGCAAGGTTTATGCAATATATATATAAAACCAATCAAGATTAAGACACATCTTATGCACATGAACACA